TTTTAGATTAACCTATTTTAAAATGAAAATAAGTCATCCTACCAAATTTTTTCCTAATTTAAATTAAATAATACTCTGGAATCATTAAAAATCATTCCTGTATTTTACCATTATGATCTAAAATCTAAGCAGGTTAATGTGTCATATTTTAAACTGTTGAGTCTTATTAAAAAAGCTAATGATGTAACATACAATAAAACAAATTACCTTACCTCCTTCTCTTCACCAACTTGATCCAAACTCTCATGACTTGAAGGATTATACGGAATTACTAAAAACCCAATCCCAAACATGAAAAAAAAGAAAAGGGTGGGAGAGGAAAAACATAGCATCTATTAATGAGTTTGACATAAAAATTTTCTCTTGATTTTCTTTTTTTAGTTTTTACTTCTGAATAAGTTTTCATTATTTAAAAGTGAATACCTGTCCTACTAGTAACAAATTGTATGTACATATAATAGCAAAATCCTAATCTTTAGTGAGGATAAAGAGAACAACCCAGTAGCCAAGTACTACTTTTAACAAATATTTCTGCTATTTTTAAAAACATCTCTCTCCTTTACAAATTAATGAAACACTTCCCTCTATAAGGATGACTCTATGACTGAGGCATAGAGACAGAGGGCCTATGGTTTGCACTTCTCACACCCTTCATACTTAAAATTTTCCTGACTGCTACATAGGTTAAATAAAGAACTGACAAGGATGTGACTTCTATTTCTTAAAGCTACTTGGGGCGGGAGGGGTGAAACCTATATTTCATATAGCCAGCTTCTTCCATGACCAAGAGATTCCATTCTGTCTTTCCAGAAAAAACTCCCTTGTCTTCCCTTTCTCGATTCAGTTCAGAGGAGATCAGGCTGCTCTACCTCTTTCATTGTTCTCCAAATTTTCCCAGGTATGTGTTTAGGATTTTGCACCTATGTAACACTGAACTCACATCATCTTTCTGGAATTTCCTATGCTGCATCTCAATATCTTTTATATAATTTCTACTTCTGATATTAAAGCTTTTACTAAAAATAGGTCACTTGAACACAACATGGCTCACAAAATCAGCTTCATATTTTTTCATTATGGAAAAAAACTGAGTTTGCTGAATTTAAAGGATCTCAAAGAAATGTATCTGAACTAGAAAAAATAGTCATTTGTTGTAGTTTACATAGTTGTCTTTTTAAAATGCCAAATGTGTATGTTAAGTATTGTGACTGACTTTAGTACCTGAAAATATTCTTACCTACTTTTATTTGCGAAGAACAAAAATGTTTTTACACTTAGGTAAGAGTCACCTAAAGAAATATTTAAATGCTTTTTTGTTAATGAACAATGATTCATGTCAGCATCATTCTTACCTGTCTGTGCATGGTCTGAATGCATGGATGACTGATCCATGGGCATCATTGGTTCCTACAAACATTTCAGAAGATACAGTAATTTAGTAATTCTTTTTAAATCCCAATACCTCTGTTAGTCCAAAAACAACATTATTTCAACGAGACACAGCATACCAATATGTAATTTTGAAAGAATATAACTTAGTGAGAATTATGTTACTATATTTTACTTTTAATTTTATTTTATGAAACCATACAATATTCCTGTGAATGAAATAATGTTAGTCATATTTTACAGAAGCAGACACAAACTAACTTCAGACCACTAATTAGAAATCAAATTAAACTCCTATATACTCTGATTTGTTTCTCTTCTATACTACTTATTCCTTCAAGCTCCACTTTAAATCTCTGGCAAAAGAAGTCTAGAATATGAGCTCTGTAGCTGGGAGACATACTTTAGGATGTCTATAAAACCCTTAAAATTACATGTAAAATTTAGTGACTTTTCCATTTTTCTGCAAATTCTCAAAGGTGTTAGTGGCCCCAAAAAGGAAAAGAAATACCTCCTAGAAACTGACTTGACCAACTAACTGCCAATAATTTTAGGAATAATGCTAATTCAAACCAAAGTTGTTACTAATTCATTAATCTTGGATCCAAGTTTAATGAATACTATTAAATAGCAGGAAAAAGTAAACTTGAAAAAAATCATTGTTTATAAAGTTATAATGTTAAGACTGTCTTCAAGATAGGCTTATAAGTAAGCTTATGGATTTTTAAATGCATTTAACCCCTATCGTAAAATGGCAACATAATCACTAACCCTGTCCCTCTTTCCTTGTACATGTATGAACACACAAATCATTCCCTCGCCTAAGAATACATAAAAATATCAACAGTAACCTGGATAAATTATGACTGTAATTGTAGCCTCCTGTATAATGGTATAACCATTATAAAGGACAATTTAGAAAGATGCATCCAGATCTTTTAAAAAAAGCATATCTTTTAACCCAGTAATTCTACTTCTGGAACCTTAAGGAAATAATATATTTACGAGGAAGTTCATTACGATTTTCTTCTTTAGAAAACAACTCAAATGTTCAATCACAAGGAACAGAAATAAATTACACTATAGACATATAACAAACTATTACATTAAAAGTGATGAGGAGATATAGATAGATAGATAGATATAGAAAGATGACCAAAATAAATTGTTCAGTGAGGAAAAAAGGGTTAGAAAACAGTATGCATATAATCTCACTTTTGTTAAAAATATGTAAAAGAAAGACACATCCAAACATATGTGCCTTCTGATGGATAAACACTCAACCTTCTACAAAGTAGTCTCAAAACCACCCACAAACAAACAAAAACAAAACCAGAACCTAGTCTGCTTGGTGGTTCACGACTGTAATCCTAGCACTCCGGGAGGCTGAAACAGGAGGATCACTTGAGGTCAAGAGTTCAAGACCAGCCTGAGCAAGTGAGACCTGTCTCTACTAGAAATAGTAAAAATTAGCCAGGCGTGGTGATGCACACCTGTACTTCCAGCTACTCAGGAGGGTGAGGTAGCAGGATCCCTTGAGCCCAGGAGTTTGAGGTTGCAGTGAGCTATGATGATGCCACTGCATTCTAGCCCCAGCGACAGAGTGAGACTCTGTCTTAAAAAAACAAAACAAAACAAATCCCCAGAATCTAATCAAACCTCTAGATCCAGCTACTATATAATATAAAGGAAACAAAGAAGACAGAGTAACATGAGGAACACAGCAATAGAGAAGTAATGAGGAAAATTCTGCAACACTTTAAATGACAAACAACTGTTTCTTCTATAATCAAATTTTAAGGAAAAAAAGGAGGGAGGGAGGGGGAGAGAGAGAGATGGAGGAGGAACCAGTAAACTAAAAAATATCTAAGAGACATCAATCAATTGCAAACGTGGACTTCATTTAAATCCTGATGCATAATCAGGATAAAACTATAAAATTATAAAAACAAAATTACAACATTTATGGGACAACTGAAATTTTTAACCCCATGGAGGGGGCACACTGCAGGAGGTGAGCAGTGGCGAGCAAAGCTTCATCTGTATTCACAGCAGCTCTGCCTGAGCTCCTGCTCCAACCATCCGCCCTCCAATCCCGTGGAAAAATTGTCTTCTATGAAACCAGTACCTGGTGCCAAATAGGTTGGGGACCGCTGTTTTAGAGGTACATACTGAAATCTGTCTGAGATTTGTTTCAAAATAAGGTAGGGTGAAGGGAGGTTAAGTGGGTGGGAGTATAGATGAAAACAAGATTGGTCCTGAGTTGAAAACTGTTGGAACTGGGTGACTGGTACATGGAAGTTCACTATACTGCTTCACCCACTCTTATATGTTGAAATTTTTTCCATACAGAAAAATTTAAAATGTTTATGCACATAAATTTGCATAGAAAAAGTTGCAGAGGGATATACACCAAATGACAATTACCTCTAGATGGTAGAATTTATGAGAATTTCCATTTAATTTTTTTCTTTATTGATCTGTATTCCCTATTTTTTCTATAATGAATATGTTTTAATTACATACTTAAAATAGAAAGTGAAAAATAAAAATTTTAAATACTTTTCTCTCCAGTAATCTCACACTTTAAACAGCAAACACTTAACTCTTTTTACCTGGTTATCTGCTTAAGATAGATGCTAGAATAATGAGAGCTATAAACTAATAAGTTTAGATTAAACAAGAGGGAAAAAAAATCTCTTAAATGATTCTCCCTACATCTTCCTAATTTAGACCAGAGGATTTCATAGCAGGTCAAACAAAGAAGTTAACTATATCCTACAAACAAATATTACCATAGGTATTTCAAAAGTTCCAAAGTTCACAATATGTTAACTGGAATGTAAAGTGTTCCTACCAATACTCTGTAACAACTTTCTTGTCCTATAATTCCTTCACACCTTCCTATTTAAGCCCTCTGTTCCAGTAATGTTATCAAGCATGTTTTTTTGCTTTTTTTTTTTTTTTT